ATTGTGTGAAAGTGATTCTTTACCCACAGTTTTTCTTTTGGATATGTTTGTTGTCAAACTTTTGATCCACAATTCTGATACTTGAAAACTAGTACAGATATCTCTGTGTACTACAAATTGTATTTACTGTATGTATAGGTTGAACTTTATTTTCTTATGTTAAAATACAATTGTGTATTCTTTTTAGTGAATCATGTGTATTTTTCTATATTTTATAATGGTTTTCATATTTTTCATTTGTAAAGAGCTTGCTTTATCTGTAAACCCTCTGCACTGTAAATTTGCTTGCTTCTGGTGGCAAGGTTTTTTGTTTTATTTCTGCCTCACAGGATTTTTTTGTATAATTAGAGCATGGTTTTCTCTTGAAAGGTTTTCTCTTCTCATATTAAAATTTTTTGCTCATATTTGCTTATCATATTGCATATTTACAATTTTTAAATTTGTGTCTGGAATATGTTTAAAATATATTTTGGGACACAGTTTAAAGTTTAAACTACTTTTACCTCTTTCTGAAATGGCTGAACATTTTTTCTAACACTTTCGAAAAACTCATTTCATTCTGCATTAAATTTTGGGCCTTTTCTCTGGAAATAGAGTTAGGACTGAAGCAGGTTTACTGTGAATTACAGGAATAGAAGTTTGGATAATGAGAAGTTAAATTATTCTTGGTTCACTTAAAGCTAGGTTACCTAATTAAATTTATGTAAACTTTTAAATATGGAAAAATGTATGAATTCATTTATTTATATTGTTTTTTACTTGCCATTTTGTAAAATCATCCAGTAGAAATAATTAGCTCAATTTCATTCTGTCTTCTAATTGGAACCAGGGGAGGGCAGCTCATGGTTCCATCTGAATTACACTAACAGGGGAGCAGCTGATGGTCTGGCTTGCCAAGCTTTTTCTCTCTTAATAGTGTACTGCAAATAAATGAAAAGCTCCAAAGAGTGGATTTTAGTTTCATCTGTATGGAAAACTCAGGGTGGGAAAGCAACAGAAGTCCATTTTTTAATAGACAGAAAACAATCAGTCAACTGATCGATCTATTGGAAACTAACCAAGGACTGCTGTATGCACAAAAATCCTTTAAAAAATATCATTAACCCAACTGAGGAAAATAAGTATTAATGACAATACTCAATACGGCTAAGTAGGAATTGCTAGTACACTGTGTTGTGTTTACAACTTTTAGGTACATACCTGGAAATTGTGATGGCAGGCTCTTATTTTCCAATTACAGAATTAAGGAAACACTGTTTTTTTTCTAATTATTCAACTCACAGGCATACGAGCATGGTAACCGGAGGCTTCCATATGTGTCTGACCACCAGTCTGCCTTTACGGAGTTTCCTAGTGAAGAAGCTGTTGAAAATGAATAGTGTTCTGAATAACATATTTTCCATGACTCATTAAAAATAGACTATAGAGTCAAATAAAATGTCAAGGATATATTATTAAGATAAATATACTCATGTTGAATTGATTTCATGTGCCTTTTAAAATTCAGAGATACTGCCTTGGAATCTGCAGAATACTGCTGAGTTTTGACTGTACTGCTTGTTGTAAATGAACAACTAGAAGTACAATGAGTGTCATAACAACAGGCGACAGCTTTAGAAATGTAAGAAATTGTGTAAATTTGTCTGACAAGTAGAAATAGATCTTTTCTTGGGGACAATAGGGTGGGATTAATTTTCTTCTCAAAAAGTTTTTAAACATTGCTTGTGGTTTTTGTTTGTTTGTTTTTAATTTCAAAAGTGACCCAAAATACTCATCTTAATGATCCTATAAAATATGTCAAAATCCTAACACATCTCTTATGGTAGGTCCGAATTTCATTTCCCTCTTATTTTAGGGCTGAACATCACACTTGGCAGCATACAGTAAGGAAAATAGAGCCTTCTCAGTACAGTTTATTATTAGTCACTGGGCTCATGGACATACAAGATACGTAGGAAAATGGACCAAAAGAGCAGACCTTATGGCTCAGTGCTAGCTGTTTGTCCCTCTAGAAGACTGGTCCCAGGAGACTGGTCTGAAAGGTTTATGACAGTGGGTTTAGGTAATGATGGGCACCGGCAGGTGATCAGAGGGAGAGAACAGGGAATGGATGGACATTATTCCCTGCACAGTCACCTAGGCTGACTGTGGCTCCTGACACAGCTAACTAAGATCACCGCTTTGGCTGGAAAGCCTCATGTCACCCAGACCTTTCTGTCCCTAGCTTCTGTCAGCTGTCATTTCTCCCTGTGCCTATATGAGTAGCATTACCTGTTACTATTACCTAGCCCCAGCATGCTGTAACATCCTGTGGAGTTGCCTGACATACGTCTCTACTTGTTTTTCACCCATTGTTGAACTAAGTCTGACTCTCAACCACTACTGGCTGGCATCCTGACTGCTAAACACACTGAAGATTCCTCAGGGTATCTTCAGCTGTCAAAGGCATGCTTTTGGTCTTTCAATCTGAGTGTGGGAAAGTAGCATGTGCTAATAGAAAGTTCAAGTGGAACAAGCCAATTTGGAGGACAAGACAGTAACTGCAGCTCTTGGGCTGGGTCTGATAAGAGGTTGAAAGGATGGAGGAGAAGAGAATAGTTGTACAGGAGAAAGTTTTTTTTTTTTCATTTTTAGTGAATAATGCTGTCTGTCTCTGTTTTCCAAAATATTTAGAAGCCTCCTAAGGAAACAAATTTTCAGTGAAGATGATGCTCTGTATTGCAAAACAAGCAGTGGAGTTTCACTGCAAACAAAGTTAACAAAAGTTGATGGACCATTAATTTAAAAAAAAAAAACCTGTCTTTTGACAAACTACGCATAGTATGAACATACTTCGAGCATGTTCACTGATTTTTCTAAAATTTTAAATCTTTATTTACAAGCAAAATCTACGTATGTTGAATCTTGCCTCAAATATTTTCATAGCTCACATGAGATGGAAACCAAGTACTTGCAAGCTTACTTTTAGAATAAACCACATTAAGTGCTTTAATAAGTGCTGGGCCTTATCGGCTTCCTTAATGAATAAAACAATTCTGGTAGTTCCAACTTTCTATGTAAAGACCCAGAAGCCTAGACCATCAAGAGAGATTGACAAAATCATTCATCATGGATGGAACTCAGCCAGCCAGCTTCTTAATGGCATCAAGAATATGCTCATTGCTTAGCGGAGAAATTTGCATGAGGGCTCTTATTTCCCATTATGATCATTTCTTAGCTCCTCTAAGGAGTTTGCCCTACAAATCTATGCTAGATTATATTGCTTAGGAATTAGTCACAGAGAGAGTCATCATAGACTCTGGAGGTAGGCAACTTTAGATTTAAACCTAAACTGGAAATTAGCTTAATATTTCATGACTGAATAATTTTTCTGGTGTGTTTGTATATTTATAAAGTGGATACATAGATATATCTCATAGCTTTCTTCTGAGGGTTTCATGAGAATGTATTGCAAGCTCATGAATAACAAAAGAATTATCTTCATCTCACTTCTATTTAATTATACAATCCATTTCTACCCTGCTCTGTAACGCGTTATTATAAGCTCTTGTTTCACGAGTGCGTTTTGCTGAGATCTATGATAACTGCAACGTATGAGTTTAATGTTTTAATGTCTTAAAAATTATGTGGAATAGACTGGAGCAATGATATTTTCCAACGGCATGTGAAGTGCTTATATTTTATACTTTTTAGTAATATTTCTGTTTCTACATGACAGATCATTGACACTATGTAGCCTGCTGAACACTGCTCCAGATGCTGAGAATGCAAGTAATAATTTAATAGGTTCCTTGTCCTCAGAACCCTTGTAGAGAAATTATAAATGCTTAAAAATAAGGGTTATTAACTTAAATTGAAAGTTCATCATGTGCCTGATAATATGCTAATTATGAGGATCTTTTTGTCATTCCTTCTCAACCTGATGAATTAGGTAAGGTGGTTACCTTAATGTTAATTGCATGACCTAAGGCTGAAAGTGCTGAGGTAACTTGCCCAAAGAGTCAGAAGACTGTGGGAATACATTCTCCCTAACATTGCTCATTTTGGCATTTAAGGGATAAGGGAGAATGTGACTTACCCAGTGTGTGATCTGTGGACCTGTGCTCCTTTGCAAGATGTTTCTTATGGGTCTGCAACTAATAACAAGTGATGAAAGTGAGAGTAATCATTTAGAGACTCTTGTTTCATTATAATTTTTCATTCTCTGTCTAATCTAATAGTAAAAACTAAGTTGGGCTTGTATTTTGCATGAATTCTTTTCATTTTATCACTACTTTTCATTGTATTTGAGAAATAATTGCTCCATGTCTGATTGGTTGGGTGTGAACTTTTTAACCGACTAGGACCATTTTGCTGAAAATATATTATACTAAAGCCACAATGATGGGAAAACATTATTTTGGTTGAATAGATACGCACCGTAAGAAAAGATGACCATAAATCCTCTCCAGTCATTTTTACCTCGAGTGAAACATGAGGTTTTGAGGAAGTTTACTTATTATTTGTGTCTTTTCAGGCTCTTACTTTAGATGGTTAGTAGTGTAAAATAAAATATACAAAATGTAATATACTCCCTCATGGGATGAATAATCTGAAATGATGTCAATGCAAAGCTTTCTTCGGTAGAGGAGGTACTAGGAAATACAAGAAAGAATCACAAGTAACGTACTGATTCAATAGTAGGAAAAAACCTGAATAGGGTGCTCGTTCAACTGAAACCGAATAGGATGTGTTTAGTGTATGTCAGCTCCTCCTGCTGATGCTTCCACGCAGCCTCAGTCTCGCTGCTCCCACTTACCATTTTTATTGAATTTCCATAGCAACTTTTCCTCTTTACATAACTATTAATAATTATGTGAATAATTGCTATTAAGGGAAATAGTCTCTGGCACATGTTCTTTTGAATTTTGTGTTTTGTTCATCTACTGAATTTTTCTCCCTTTCACATTTTGTCTTTTTCTCCCTTTTTTATTTTAACCATGTTCATCTTCTTTATATAGATTGAAAGAAGGAGCATGGCTGCTCTGAAAAGGAGTTTGGTGAATCTCAAAGTGAACGCGTCACATAGATGAAAGTGCTTTCCGTCCTATCCCAAGTAAATACTTTACAACTCATATTAAACACACCGACTTTTTCAAAAAATGGCACAGTGATAGTAATAGGACCGTGACGAGGTTTCTTGTCACTGTGCCATGTTTATGGCAGCAGTTGCTCTTACTGTATTTTTGTCTTCGTTCCCAAAACACTCAACCTAAATTAAGGCTGCCATTCTAAAATAAAGCAAAGCCTGAACAAGTGTTGTGGGGGGATCAGATTTTTAAAAGCATTGCTTAATCTGTAATAGTTTCCCAGGCTCTCCCAAACTTCCAAGTAACTGAGTGACCTTCCCCTTCATTTTAATGTACAAATCAGGCCTTTGTTAGAGAGCCTGACCGACCACCTTGGCTATAAATTAGTTTCTCTTGCTCTTGTTTCACTCATTTAACAGACCCAGATTGAGCTCAGTGGCCTTTGAGCTTATTCGTGGTGCTTTCACCACATACCATTTTGATAACTTTATCACTGAAATAACTGAAGTTAAAATTTATGTGTAAAATTAAATATTAGCTTACAATACATTGCATAGTATGCAGACATTAGAAGATGCAGAAAAAGCAATGTTTTAAAAGTCAGATAAACTCTATGAGAGACATTCTCTCCTTAAATTAAATCTCTTTTCTCTCCATGTCTCATGGAGTTTAACTGACGCATGACTCTTTTCATGTGCACCAGCAGTACCAAGATGCTTGACCCAGCCTCTGCCCTCAAGGAACTCAGTCTTGCAGGGAAATTTCACAAATGTCAAAGCTGTAGGTGAACAGGGAACAACAGGCAAGGTAGAGAAGTGCTGGGTGCCTTCCCAAGGCTGGAGGTGTCTGGCAGGAGTTCTTGGAGGAATCAGTTACATCAGGTTCTGGGGAAACCACAAAAGAAGACTCTCTGGTCTACAATCCTCTGTAGATACTAAGAGGAAAGTACCTATTTCTGGCCAAATGGGAAGAAAGACCAAAAGTTGATGACAAGTTTTATGGTTTATCCAGATGTCCCCAAAGCCTCATGTGCTCAAAGGTGGGAATATTGGAAGGTGATTGGATTATGGGGACTTACACCTGACTTCCTATTAGAAGGTGCACCTCTGGGAGTGTGGCCTGAAGGGATTATCTCCTTCCCCAACTTCTCCTTTTTTTCTTTGCTTCCTGTCCGTGATCACCAGGCCTTAAGCAGCTCTCCTCCACTATGCCCCTTGTTGCCGTGCTATCTTGCCCTGAAGTCTACCGGCTGAAACTTACAAATCATAAGCAAATAAACCTGGCCCCCTTCCAGTTGTGAGTCAGGTATTGTGTCCCAGAGACTAGGAAAGTAACTGAAACAACAAAGAAGATGAACATGGAAAGAAAACAGTAGTTGACCCTTACCCACAGAGAATGCCTTGAAGATATCCAGTGGATACTCAAAACCATGCTTGTTACCAGACCTTTTTACATTTACATTGCATTAATGAAGTGCTTTGTGGCTACTGAGAAGTAATACAAGGATTATGTGAAAACAAGCAGTGCCCTACCTCCACAACTGATAAGATGATTGAGACAGGAAATAGTGCATATAACATGGACGTGCTGGGGAGAGGGACAAGTGCGGTAGGGTGGTACGAGAACGGCATGCAATTTAAAACTTAAGAACTGTTTATTTCTGGAATTTTCCATTTATTAGTTTTGGACCTCTGTTGACTATGGGTAACTGAAATCACAGGAAAGTAAACGATGGGTGGATAAGGGGGAACTACCGCACTTCACCGGGCCCTTTGGGATCTTTCCTCATGCGTTTGGCTTCCCAAAAATACACCATACTCTTCTGCCTCCTCTGTACCAGTTGCAGTGCCCAGTGAGCCAGAACCTCAAGTCTGCAACTCAGTGTAGCCTGAACCACGGTTCCTGAGCTCACTGCAAACCCTAACCGCTTGTAACTCCATATTCATATTTCTAAAATTCAGATTTAAATCTAGGAAATCTCAGGGCTTAGGTCCTTTGGTCTAATCACCCACCAGATGATCTGATGCTGCTAACCTATGAACTACACTTTGAGGGCAAATGCCCAAATTTAACCCTGTATATGAGAACCTTGCAATGCCAAATCAATCTGTTATACTTGCGATGTATTTAAAAACCCATTGTGGGATTACAAAGAAAAGTCATCAAGTATTGTTGGTGAAACATGAGGACAGATGTTTATTCAGAAACAATAGGGAAATGTATGATTATGACTGTAAATTGAGTGCTTTCTGCTTGGTGCCATGCCATGCTTAGTAGTAATAGCATTGATGTATATATTCTTTTCTATTCCTTGTAACTACTGAGTAAATTAAGTATCATTTAGGAACGTTGCAAACTAAAGCATAGTTTATGTAACTTAGTGCCACATAGCCAGTACAAGGCAGACCTCAGTGATTCACATCCAGATATCTCTTGCTGCAAAACACTACACTCTAAAAGCTTACTCAAAAGTAACAAATAGAAAATTGATAGAAGCACAGAACCTCAAGCAGTAGTTGGGATGTTATGTTGAGTAAGAATGGCTAAATCTCCTAGGGACAAAAATTAGCAGCTGATCTACATAAGGTGCTCTGATCAAATAGTCCTGTCAAATAATGCATTAAGATGTGTCCAGGAGATTTTATTCCTGAGCCAGCAGAAGGAAGGTAATAGTGCTAATCTGATTTTATAACAACGATATAGGAAAGCACAGGAATCATTATATTTTAGCATTTGTATATATTTACACACAACTACAGATGTGTAAATATCAAGGACACAGAGAACTGCTGGCCCACAAAAAGTCTCTGTGTGACATTTAGCAATGTGACATATTAACCAGGAAAAGGATATTATCAACTGATAATGATAAAGCCAGGTACAGTTAACCCAAGTATGGATCATTATTATTATTCGTTCAGTACACAGAGATTTACTTCTTGATAGTGTTCGTGTAATTACAAATATGATGCTTTTTTTTTTAAAGCACTTAAAAATATCTCCCCTTCCCATCCCAGAAGCAAAAGCCAGTTTGGATACAACTTGTTAGATAAGGAAGTCATGAAATAGGAAGTGACATTGAAAGCTTGCTCAGTTACAAATATATTATGCTGGCTTAGCTGAAGCAAGCTAGTGATCAAAAAATTTAAATTGAGAAGAGATGCTTTGCCTTACTTTACATCACAACTATGACTAAATATCTGAATATAGTGAATTGCTTACTTGTCTACCTCAGTGCTCAAGAGGGCCTCACAAATTTGGCTTATTTAGCAAATACCTTTTTGGGGCTCAACACTGAATCAACAACAACGTGGTAGAACTGAATGCTTTCACTTAAACATGACAGAATGGTTGCAATTATAATGAAGTTTGATTGTTGTATAACAAGTTGATTGTGGGTACTATGAGTCACTGGAGACTCAGTTCACTTACATCTGATAAAAATTACAGTGTTAGTAGTGAAATAATAAAAAGGAAGCCCAAATTAGTCTTCTTTCTTCACTGAGTGAGCCTTTGTGTAGATCTCTGAGATAAGAAAATTCTAACCAATAGACACAAAAACTTTACAACTTACTATATGGGAAGTGAAATGATCTCACTGCAAGAAGATACTGATGGAAATCTTCAACATCTGCACCCTGAAAACATTGTGCCACTTCAACTTTTTTGAACATTATAAAGAACTCCTCTTAATACAGTAAGTTCTTGACGTGAACATTTGAGTTTCACACGTTCACAGATGTGACTGGACCTCGCATTAAGAACATTGATCGATGTGAACAAACTGTGGAAGTAGCTCGTGTGTCTCCTGGACATGGTCACAGTGGTGCTGCTGTGTGCTTGCTCTACAGTGTGACAGTGTACAGTAGCACAGTGCTCAGTCAGAGCCCAGCATGCCCGCAAGCAAGAGGAAAAGCAGTGGTGATGGGGGGGCGCTGCTGGAAAGTGAAGAGCAATATACATTGTATGTGTGTCAGCGGTGTATAAGATTCACTTTGTCAGACTTACAGATGCATCTGGTTTATGCATGTTCACCTGAAATCGAACTAGTTCATCAGTCATGGACTTACTGCACTACCTCATGAGAGCTGTCGTATTGAGTACTTATTGGAGGTGCAAAGATTTGGTCCAAGTGTTTTATTTATTTGTTCAGTTCCCTTAACTCTTACAGCAGTGCAAATGTACTGATGTGCTGTGTTATTATCAATTATTATCTGGCAGTGGGGGACCTGGGACACAAAGAGGTTATTTACTAACCAGAAGTCATCCAGCTGATGACAAAAGCAAGGTGAGGACACAGGCAGCATGACTGTAGGGCTTGTTTATGCACTGTCCTGTAGCGCAGCTTTGGGAAGGGGACTAAAGCCGCTGTCATTTGTGTAGTCATGAGTATGACTTCTGAGAATATTTTGATGTTACAATGAGATGAAAACTTAATTTCAGTGTGCAGAGTCAGTATTTCTCCATGCATTTTAATTTTCTGAACTTGAAAACTACTACAGCATCTTGCACCATTAAGACAGATATAAACACTCTCTAGAAGGCAGAGGCATAAAGATTGAAAGTTCAAGACCAGCTTGGACAATTTAGCACTTTAGCAACACCCTGTCTAAAAATGAAAAGCAAAAAAGGAGTGGGGTGGGGGCAAGGGACGTAACTCAGTCTGAAGGCCTTAGGTTCAATCATCAGTACCACAATAAAAAGGAGGAAAAAAGGAGGGAGGGAGGGAAAGAAGGAAGGAAAACAGGAAGGAAGGAAGGAAGGAAAGAAGGGAGGAAAGAAAGGATGAATGTAGGAGGATTTTTTGTCTTCCAGAGTTAGGAAATTAAAAAATAAACATCATTCTTATATTTATACATGATATGTATCAAAATACTCAATTTTATATGGATTTTTAAGGTAAAATATGAGTACTTACCTTGAAGCAACATAGATATGAATTCATCTGTATGAGAGATATTTTGGAAAGAGATGCAGAGCACTATTCAGTTTCAACAGGTGCTTTAGGCCTGTAAGAACTGCATGT